GTCTCAAGGGCAACAGGGAGGCACCGACTGCAGAAGAGATGGCCGCAGCAGGTTGACAAAAACAGTTGTTCATTTCTCAGAATCTGGAAAAAAGGAAACCACAACATGTATTGGGAGGACAGGATTTGAGTTTGCTGCTCTCTTGGCACCAGGCCAGTAGGACTTGGAGTATCTGGAATCAGTTCATCACTCCCTGGATAATAAGGGACCCACAGATCTGCCAGTGTCCTCTTGGCAAGGGTTTCTCCCTCTGCGTACACCACCAAGAAGGAATTTTTTTGAGCTCCATGGCAAGGTCTGTGCTTCAAGCCAGCTGCCTATAGCACCCCACATTAGCCAACTGAGTTGAGCAGTTCCCCCTCTGCCCCATTCCCTCTTCCAAAAAGCAGAAAGGATGATAACATGTGGATCCTTACCTGTGAGTAAAAATCCATGCAAATTGGACACCTCATGGCTGGTTGTCATTCCCTAGAGAGAACAGACCCAGAAAGAGCAGCCATTAATACCACTGGGCATCGAGTGTTACTGATATATAAGATGTCACATAATCATCTGACTGCACTGACTGGTCATGATATATTTCTTTTGACGAATCCTGTGTATCTTTAGCTCTCTCAGTTTGCTGCATGTAATGAGGAGTTCAGATCTCCCTGTCCTGAAGGAAACAGTGTCTTGGTTTTCATTGCGAGAAAACGCAGTCAGTCACCCTGCTCAAGGATTCGAAGTAACAGCAGTCTCCAGCACTGGGCAGTCTATGTACTGGCAGAGTTAATCTCCAACAGGTCATCAGTAGCAGCTTTGTATCTGAAGGATCGAGCTGTCCTCTGGGAACTATTCGTTCCAGAAGGGAATGAGATCTGACACTACAGAGTAACACTGCAGACAGCTCTGGCAAGCTCCAGCCTCAGGAAGGACCCTTTGGTCAATGTAGAATGCTGCAGCACTGAGCTCTTCCAGCCTCACCTAAACAGAGCAGGAAGGTGCATTCTGTAACAGAGAAGCTTGAGACTGAAGGAACAAAATATCGCTTTTTCATATTAACCAAGGGGTGGGATTTGTTCACAAACATATTTAAAACCCCAAATTTAAACATCTATAAATCCACTGGTAAAATGCACTGTGGTTTAGAATAGTAGAAGCCCTTTAGGTGGCACATTTAAGACCTGACACCTTAAAGTTCCCGATTCAAGTTCTCTGCTATACTGCCTTTCAGTAATCCAAAAGACTCAAAGCACATTAGCTTTATTATAACCTGCATTTCCCCCCCTCCACAAAACCCCCCACTTTAAAAACACTCTATGTTACAATTCTCATGATCTTCATCTTCCCTAGTCACATGGACACCTGATTTCCTTTGATTAGTTTAATGCATTGCATCTTTCTTATCCAAATGGAGTACCCCTGCAGCAAGACTTTTCTGTTTCTCTGCAGAATAGGGACTTTACTGCACAGGCACCCAACATGAGCTGCAAGATCCCCATGCCACATGCAAACATATCAGGGTTCCGTTATATTCCTGGGACTGAACAAGAACTGGCCATAAAAGCATGACCTCCATAATGGCCTACGTGCAAGTCTCCCTCGGGAAGAATGGCTACTGCTCTAAGAGAGAAAGGCAGCTAACAGACACAGTGTGTGACAAAGCAGAGGATGCGTGAGATTTTGCTGGAATTTACCCGGCTGCTGCCTGCTGGTCTCATGATGCCAAGCCTCATCAATACTAGTGAAAGTATTTCCATATCCAACATCACTACTAGACCTTGGCATGAAAAGTAAATTCAATACGTTGTGAGCTATGGCTTGTGATTAATCTCCCTTCCTTGCATACCCCCCCAGCTTGTCTATAAGGATATAGGCAAGGTTGTCAATCTGCCTTGGGCTGCCTTTTTCTCCTGAAGTGGTATCATTTGATCATCATGCAACACGAGATGTTGTCCTCGTTGAAAGAGGGAAATTAGTAGAGGAAGTGAAGGCTTCAAAGTTAAGCCAGGTCATAGCAATATAACTTAGTCCTGTCTGTATACAAATTTTTAAAAAAAAGCAAAATTCAATGTTTGGTGGGTCATGAGGCATATGTACTTTGAACTTTAAGTTTCCTCATCCAATGATCCCTGTTGTTGAGATGCTATAGTAGGCACATACACATCATTAGGTCTTGCTTCATCTTCATCATCGCTATTCAGTACAGAGCTTTCTGACTGTTGCTGGCTTCCTAGTGCAAGATTTCTCCTTTGTTGTTCATATCCTGTAATTTAATTTTGGTAAGTTGGATCTCTTATTCCCTCTCACTCTCTCTGGAACTATCCTTCAAATGCATTATTTTAAATGGTCTATAATGGTTCCTATTTTAAATGGACCTTTTTCAGCTGTGTGAAAGGCAATCTTAATCAAAGTAGTTTCCTAAATATTAAAGCTGAAGCGTTCCAGACACTATTCACCCTATGAACAGCTGAAAAGGTGGCCTGAGAGATTCTCAGTGTCATACGTTCCATAGAGTTACACTACCTGTGAATAAATCTGCCCTAAAAAGGGAAGCTCCCTCACCCCATTCTTACTGAAAATGTCTGCTGCGATCCTATGGTAAGGAATGGCAACAATTGCTGTGTGATAGGGGAGAGAGTACTGCAGTCAAGTTTCCAAGGAGCATGGTGACATAGCACATACACAACAAAAAGGCTTGGCAAAACACAGAGTGCTTTGTTCAGAAAGTTCTAGAAGGGATGGAAGAGGTGCTTAAATCTCAAACTGCACATTCCAGAGCTGCTGTGTTTCCTTGTTATGATATGATGCTAAACTGTTGCACTCTTTTTGTCTGTGTTAAACCAAATCTCCCCACTCAAAGGCAGTTTCTATCAAATGAGTATTGTTAAGAGCAGTCCTTGGAAAGTAGAAAAAGACTTGAAGCAGTCTCCTTAGAAGTCTCCTTAGAAGTTGTCATCATCCCCTCCTGAGTTAAGGCAACTTGAAAATGGAGTTATATTGTCCAAGTTCAAAAGAGATCAATTTTTAAGGGCCTGGTCGAAAACATCCAAAGGCCCAAGAAATGCTGTTTGCTTTTTAACTCTCAGAAACTGACTACAACAAAGATCTCTGCAACTCCAGTGTCCATGTAACAATAATCTAGCACTAATCAACTAAAATTACAGAAAGTGTCACCAAATTAAAGTTCTTTTCTGCATAAATATTCATCCAAAACATTGATTGCAGGGATTTTCCACTGTGTTTGATAGTGGCTATCAGACACAGATTGGATTCATTCTCTAAGACACTGGTCAGAGGCTTTAGCCCTGTCCTTTGCCTTTCACTCAGTGCGGTTTCAATCCCTGCTGCTTGAGCTTCTTGGAAAAGACATACAAAAAATAACCATTCCATTTAGGACAATTCTATGATCGACTGTAAAACATCAACTCACCTTCAAGAAGCTCCATCAATGCTTATGCGAAGGGAGAGAAAAGAAAATACAATTAGACTTTGATGTGCACCCCTGGTGTTGCATAACAAGACCAGCTCAGCAAAGCAGGTACAATGGAACAGGGGAAGAATGGTAGGCTGTTGACCTCTTATTTTGGTTAAGTACATTCAAACTAGTAGCCAGTTAGCTGCTGCCCTGAAAACAAGTAAGTGGGTGCTTCTCATTGTGCTCCCACTGCTAGAAAGAGGTAGAAAGGGAGGCAGCTTAGGAACCATCTGAGTGAAGCCCCTCCTCCCTGCTCCCCTGTTCCAGTTCCCTAACTGGATTTTGGCTTCGGGTGAATCTTTCCCCTTTCTCCCACCAAAAGGCAAATTCAGCTGTAGCGCTGTGTTAGATGAACAGCTGATGAAGGAAGGAAACCCCAAGAGGGGCTGAGAGGAAAGAATTGCAGTTTGCTGCTCTCTTGGCACTAGTCAAACAGGACTTGGAGTATCTGCAATCTGTCAGTTCCTGCTAGAACAATAAGGAACCCACAGTTCTTCCAGTGCCATCTTGGCAAGGGTTTCTCCCTCTGTGTACACCACTGAGAAGTGACTTGGAGTGATGTGCTAGTTGAAGCTCCAGAGCAAGGTCTGTGCTTTAAGCCAGCTGCCTGTAGCACCCCTCCTTAGCCAACCGAGTTGCACAGCTCCCCCTCTGCCTCATTTCCCATCTCACAAAGCTGAAAGGATGACATGTGGATCCTTACCTGTGAGTTCTCATCCCCCCAAAATGGGGGAGAGAGAAGCCATTCTGGCCATGAGCTACAGAGAACAGAAGCAGAAAAAACATGCAGACTTTTCTCTGCATTAGTTTCACTGTGCATCAAGGGTTACCGATACATAAAACGTCAGAAACTGAAACACTCCCTATTCTGATTTAGCAACATCCCAGCCCAGACACACAGGCATTCCAAGAACTTTTATGTTCTGCAACCATTTCAACATATCTCAAACCGTAGTGCAAGATACAGAATCACAGAACATGCCAAGTTGGAAGGGACCCACAATTCTCATTGAGTCAGACTCTTAACCCTGCACAGGACCATCCCCAAAAGTCCCACCATGGGCCTGAGAGTATCATCCAAATGCTTCTTGAACCCTGTCAGACTTGGTGCTGTGACCACTTCCCTGGTAAGCCTGTTCCAGCAACCAGCCACCCTCCAGGTGAAGAAGCTTTTTCTGATATTCCACCTAAACCTCCCCTGACACATCTTCAGGCCATGCCCTCAGGTACTGTCTGAAGCCATCATGTAAGACGCATTCAATAATGACCTCATGAACAGAGAAGAAAGGTTTCTGCTCGAATTTGCTGTTTTCTTTATTTTATTTTATTTTTTTATTAAAATTAGTTCTCTTCCAGTCAGGCCACTATATTCTGGGTCTGAAGTTTTTTCACAGAATCAAGTGGAACCTAAAAGCTTGGCAAACACCTGTTTTTACCGTATGTCAGGAATTAGATTTAGAAAGACACTTTTTCTGTCACATACTCGTCATCATTTGCTGGTACTGGTTCATTGTCCCTTGCCAGTAGCACTGGTGAATTTTCATCTGCTGCTTCGGAAACAAGTGGGTGCTTCTCATTGTGCTCCCACTGCTAGAAAAAGGTAGAAACGGAGGCAGCGTAGAAACCATCTGAATGAAGCCCCTCCTCCCTGCTCCCCTGTTCCAGTTCCCTAACTGGATTTTGGCTTCAGATGAATCTTTCCCCTTTCTGCCACAAACAAGCAAATTCAGTTGTGATAGCCTTTAACAACACTGTGTGTTAGATGAACAGCTGCTGAAGAAAGAAACCCTAAAGTAGAACCTGGTCTTTCTTTTGGTGGAACTGTATGTGGGTCATGCAGATTCTGTTGTAAAGTTTGAGGCCTTTTCTTCACAAGCTCAGGAAAAATCCTATCAGGAAATATGCCCTTTGCTATGCCTGTTTGCATGGCAGCAGTGGCATCCCAAAATTGAGTGGAGAAACTACTCTGTGGCCTGGATCAAAGACTATTCTTTCAAAATAGCAGGATAAAAAAAATTGACTTTTTAAATGACTTCTTAGAGGAATAAACAGAACTGGTTTTTACCCCTGTCAGCTACAGTTTTGCTTGGCATCTCAATGAGAGTAGTACCTTAAACCAATGTTGCAGCCAAATGCTTCACATTTCAGAAGTCAATGACTTCTTGTCTGTTTCTTTGTTTTTTTCTTTAAATCACTGGGGTAACAAGCTCTTTTAGATTACCCTTCCACTCTCTGCAAGTGATACTCAGAGATGCTGATGTGCTAATGGGTGTATTTGGGATTGACTGGGAACTCTGTGTAAAGTGGTAAACAGAGCCATGTTTCAATCCTGAGGGTCAGGCTACTTAGATGCCAGAAGACAGGCCTTGGAGCACATGAGAAAACTAATTTGACAGCAAGATTGAGGGAAGTGTCCTAGTCACTACTTACCACAACAGAATCATCACCAGTTAGATTGGTGACTTCAAGCCCAGAATATTCGCCTGTGAAATCTATGATTTCTTCAACAGCTGAAAACCAGAACATTAGAATCAAGATCAGAGGTTGCAGAGGAATGAAATGGGCTGCCACAGTGGAACAGGCTGAGGTAGGATTAAATTATGCCCTTCTTTTCAGGCGTGTGTCCAACATTTCACTCAAGCTTTGCCCTCAACAGTCCACAGAGACCATTACCAGCCCTGTCTTCCACAAGTGGCAGCGCAAGAGGAACAGCGGCTGAGCTTCTCACACAATTCTGTTGCATGACAACAGCTTGTGGGAGATACACATTGACAGATGATTCAACTAACATAGGGGAATGTTTATCGCACAGGAAACCCCCCCCCAAACAAAACCAAAACACCAACAGCAAAACCAGAATCAGAGAGGGTCTCCTAAGTTTATAGTACCATGCTGTACATGTTCCCTAGAGGGACAAGGTGCAGCTAATAACAAACTTTTCCATATCTTCTTTCAACTTGGAGATCCCAAACTTAGTTTGCTACCATCTGTAGTGGCAGCTGTGAGCACTGCCAGCTCAGCAGGGTAGACATTCAGATGTTTGAGCAGCACTTGATAACCTTTGCTATACAGATTATCTCCCACTAGTGGTGAATTTATTGCAGCTCAGTAACAACAACCCCAACCCTCCAAAAACTGTTTCTGTTCTTACCAAGCTCAAAATAAAGTGTAGAGTTTTCTTCAAGGTCTATTGGCTCTGCTTTTGCAGTTCCACCTGCACTGGAAGTCAGCAGCCTGCTTCGTTTCCGAGCTCGTTTGGAATTGACAGATTGTCCAAGGCGCTTTCGCCAACGCTGAGAGAGAACAAAGCCTTAGCATTTTCTGTGGGATTAATATTAACATGGCCCTCATTTTTGCAAGACCAGTGAAAACACACGAGGATATTCCACAAGACTGCATAGGATAAGCCGCAAAGGCTGGAATATGCATCAAAATGTGCTATTGGCCATTCCTACCTGAGCCCATTGCAAGAAGGAAAAGACATCACCCCTGATCTCTTACCCGTTGCCTCACCAAGAAAAAGCCTGTCCTGATGGCTTGCAAATGACACTAGTTCACAATTCATTAGGTTGTTGCTCACACTGTAAGCATTTCTGAGATATTGCAAGCACCCAGATATTCAAAATCTTCAGCATCCCAGAAAATGAAGTAACATGAAGTTTTAATAGGCTTCTGGTAGTATGTATGCATTTTCTACAGACTCCTGAAGTCCTTTCTAGAAGTACCCTGGAAAACATGTTTCAAGAATCAGATTTGTGCTCAATAGTAAGGTACATACCATGCTCATGGTGTTTCGTGATCTAAAACTGCCAATAAAGTAGACGGGACAACATCAAAAAAGGAATGTCAGGGAAGCAACAGTGACCAATCCTTTAGATTCCTTTAGGTAGCACAATGCTACAAAGTCCTGATTTCTCAGGGCTAGAGAATGATGTCCTTCCAAACCTATCAGGAAAGTAGAGCTCTTAGAGATTGCCTATGTGGAATGCCCATTCTCTTAAATATCCCCCCTCTTCAAGATTCCCATTCCCGAGTCACTAGGACCTGAAGTCCAAAACAGCTCCTCAGCATCAGAAACCTTTTAAAAAATTGTCTGCACTCACCTGTACAGTCAGTTATGAATTTTTCTAGCAAATATCAGCAAATTGTCTTCTATTCCCACCTGGGATGGAGAAGGCGGATGCTGTGCATCTGCTGTCCAGCAGAGAATCCGTCAACTGAATTAACTCCTGGTCTCCTGAGCCCTTGGCAACTGTTTGGTAACATTCTTCCATGTCCCATATCATTCCAAAGTTCTCTTTGCACCTTCATGGAGTTCCAGAATGCCTTAAAGAAACCTTAAAGATCATCTGATTCCAACCCCCTGCCATGGGCAGGGATACCACCCACTGGATCAGGGTGCTCAAGATCCTGTCCTGGAATGGGGCCTTCCAGGGACAGGGCACCCACAGCTTCTCTGGGCAGCCTGTTCCAGTGTCTTGACACCCCCAGACTTCTTCCTAACATCTGGTGTAAATCTCCCCTCTTTTAGTTGAAATCTGTTGCCCCTTCTCCTATCAGTCTCTGCTCATGTAATAAATCATTCTGCCTTTCCTATAGGCCTTCTTTAGGCACTGGAATGCCTCAATGAGGCTTCCCTGGAGCCTGCTCCTCTCCAGGCTGGGAAGCCCCAGCTCTCCTGGCCTGGCTGTGAAGGAGGGGAGCTCCAGCCCTCTCAGGCCTCCTCCGGCCCTACTCCAAGCACATCTTGCCTGTGCTGGGCCCCACAGCTGGACACAGGACTCCAGATGGAGCCTCACGAGGGCAGAGCAGAGGGAGACATTCTCCTCCGTACACATTCAGCCTGAGGAACACTGTGGCCTTTCAGTGGCTAAAGAAATCCCACCAATTCCCCGCCCTCAAAAAAAAAAAAAGAAATGAAACTCTTCCTTAATTTTCCTCCTCCATTTCTATTAGTCTTCTGCTGAAAAGTCTTAGGAGACTGTCTTAACTTTAACCCTAGTAAACAACAATTAAAATTAAATAAAAATATATTTTTTTTCAAACTGGTGAAAATCTAACTATTTAGATCCTTATTTCAAGTCTCTGAAGCCTTGAAGATTTCAGGTGTTCAGCTATTCCTCTGCCAGCATTTCACAACAGGGTTGAGAGGAGGTTTGCTCTTCTGCTGGGGACAGCACCTTCCTCCTGAGGCCCTGCTGTGCTATGAGAGATGACACAGCAAAAAAAAAGAGAAATTAAAATTCAGTTTGCCTTCTAGCCAGTCTGCCACTGGAGCTGCATTCATAGGGTTTGGCTGGGGCTCCTGAGACCGGCAGCAACCCCATCTTGGCCCTGCTGAATTCAGGGATGCTCCTCAGCCCCTGGTCCTATGGGTGCTCTCGGTGTGGGAAGGACAATGGAAATTCATCCAATGGTGGGGATAGCATAAGGATATTTTCAGCTCATGCTCCTGCCTCTTCTAAAGGAGCATCTTCTTCTTAGAGCTTGATGTGAAACAGAACACAAATGACTATTGCACTAGGAAAAGAGTAGGGAGAGTAAGTTCAGTAGAAAAGAAAAGAAAAGAAGATATCCTTTCCATTACATGAAAATTCATTTTATTACTTCATGCAATTAAAGTATGGGGAGTAGCTCCCTATCATGGCAAGCAAGAATAAATATAAAAACTTTTCTCTGCATGTGAGATCTGCAGATCACTTGGCTCAGCCTTTCTGTTAGGCTACATTTCTTGCTAATATTCTTCCATCTCAATAGTCATTTGCCAGTTTGGCCAGCAAAGTGAGAAAAATCAGCTATACTATAAATTATATATATATATATATATATAATATATATTTATACTAATAAAAATGGAGTACCTTTAGAAGCCACCTGCTTAGCTAAAGATACTTGCACTGCAAAACAGAGGGTTGTGACTGTTCTAGTGTTGTGCCTCTAATTCTGTAAGTTACACTTGCCTATTATTAAGAGCTAAAGAGTCATCCAAGAACATAGAAAAGCTTTCAGATCTTGCAGAATCGCATGCTTGGAGATGAACTTATAAAAAATCCTCCATGATTTACAGAGATGAAAGAGAATGGCCATTTCAACTCATTTTTTGCATTGTGAGAACTTGGCTGCACTGACTTATTTAAGTATTTTTTTAATGACTTTAGAAGGGATGTGGTCTAATTTGTTGATATTTTCTATTTCTCAAAATTAAAACCCCTGACTGACAGTGCTGGGATGGAAACCCCTGGAATCAAGGGTAAGTGGTAAAAGGAGACAACTCATTTGTCCTTGTGAGTCTTAGTCCCAGCTTCCAGTGTTCCCTAGTATGGTTGGACCCTGACCTAGAAATCCTTATTCATGATCAGCTTGTATCAGCTGCTATTTTTTCCTCCAAAAGCTAAAAATATGTCTAGAAATAGGTACATTTGCTTTCTCTATTGTTTCTGGAATTTTTTTTTATTTTTTTTTTATTTTGAGAGCAGAAAGAAGATCAAAAAGTATGTGAACTTCAAAGAGAAATCCAACATTTCTTTTAGAGAACTTCCATTCCTCACAGTCCATGCAGAGGGTGCTTTTACAGATGGCATTTGGGTCAACAAGTTCTCATTCTTCATCTCACTCTTTATCTTTCTGCACATATGAAAGCTCACGACTTGACAGGCAGCTCAATACCTACAAATGGCTATATAGTGATTACAAAGTGTCCATGTTTTCAGACCTATTACGTATGCAGTGATGTAAAGCTTCTATTTTAAAGATAATATTTATCTATCGTACCAGAAGGGGATAATATCTGGAAAAGTTATATCGGTAAAGTAAACATGAAGCTCTACTAAACAAAGTATAACCTAAATGGCCAGTTTGCATTCAGCATTGAATTTTTAATCTCATTTCCCCATTTTATTGTAAACAGTAAGGGGAAAAACTGATACAGAATCCACAGGAAAAAAATCCTGTGCACTGTACACTGCTTATGTGAAAAAAAGTCCTCCTGATATCCTTCTGGTTTGTTATTGACAACAGTTTGTTCCCTGCCAATAACATGAAGAGCCACAGGGCTTGCTTTAAGTTACGATTTCCTGTTTGTAGCCAAGCAAGTTTATTAGGGGTGAAAAATGTGGAAAAGGGGATGCGAAGGAAAGAAGGTGTGCGGGTTGCACGTTATATAATAAATATTTAACACCCTGGTACCACATAAAGCCTGTGTTCCCAGGCAGCTCTGCTGTATCTTGGGATACAGCCAACAGATAAGGTAACATATTCCACTTTCAGGTCCCTTCTTATTACAGCTCTGAAGGTCAGGGTAAATGAGAAAAACCAAGAACGGGTAGCAAGAAAGGGAACAAGATCTAGATCATTAGCTGATCTGGAAAGTCAGACTCAATTTCTGAGTCCTTTGTGGACTTAGTGCAAGCTATCTGAGACAGAGTCCTATTTTGTCTGAAGATATATGAAAAGAGAGCTGTGAGCCATGCTGACCATACCAGGCAGCTGGAAAATCAAATGCTTATGTGATTTAAGGTCAGAATAAAACAATGTATTCACCTAGTCTAACGTGCTTCGTGACACTGGCTAGAGCATTATCCAAAGATTTCTGCATGAGGCCAAACAGGTTTTATGTTATCCATGATAAGACTTGTAGAAGACCATCTCATCTGGGTTGAACACCCATTTGACAGAGTCTGTTAACTTTCTTGTGCAATTCCTCTCTTGCAAGGATATTCCCATTTCAATAAATGTCCATCTCCTCTCTCCCATTTTGATAAAATGTGTATATTTAGCTATGTGATTAAGTCTAATTATTTGTGATTCTTTCAATTCACTCCAGGTTTCTAAAGCCTTTCCATATGATTCTAGAGGGAGTCTAGTCTGTGTGCACAACTATAGAAACAGCTCCATCTTCCACTTTAACACTGGTTTTATTCCTAAATTTTCTTGTGTTTAGGACAGCTGCTGTCACAGTAGTCTTAAAAGAAGAAAAGTCTCGAGTCATATTACTGAGTATAAAATCAATGGAAAGTCAGAATTCTGATACGGCTTCTGAAATGGCACAAGGAAGACAAAAATGGCAGCTTGCCATAGGAAGCTCAAGAAAGTGCAGGTAGGGTGAAATCCTGAAATTAGGATTTGTCAAAACCTCTCTGAATAAAGCAAACTTACATGATTTCATGCACCTCAATTGACACAACCCTCTTAGGCTCATTTTTCCAATGAGAGTCCAACAGCCAAACCTACAAACATTTTTATAAACAGTGAAAGCAGCACCAAGTAAAGAAGAACAAGGCAAATCAGAACTGACTTCTATTGATTTTGTGATAAAGGCTCCATGGAGACCAGCTGTTAATTACCTTTCCAGAGGAGACACTTGTTTAGCTTGGAGCCAGGTCTGGTTTTTATTCCCCCCCTTTCCTCTCAGGTACAAGAGAGTGTACTGCTAGGATTAGCATAGGATTTAAATTATAAATGTGTATTGGGACATAGTTTTAACCATTCATCCATTTTATTATGGTACTGCTAAAGACTGGGCAAGAATGAGGTGATAAACAAAATAGACACCCCCTTTCTCAACTGCTTTGCTAGTAATATTTTCAACAGTTTAGCATCACTTTCTTTCTAGTTAAAGTTATGCCAAAGCAGCATGGATATGTCCACCTTGTTTTCCTTTCCACTGTTTTTACAAGCATTAGTGACTTAGCCCTTCCAGGTAAATGACATTAATGACTTAACCCTGACAGGTACAAAGCTCTCTTGATGCCCACTGCCTTCGGAATGGAGGCAGAGGGGAGACACAGTGCTGTGTCACTGTGCTTAGCTCCTTTCTGAATAAAACCACTGAGTCCCAGCTGTATGATCTCTCTGAGCTGTACATAGTGGAAGACTAGCAAGTAGGGATAAATGAGGCTTGAAAACCATCTGTTTGCTCACCAGAGCCTGACATGGGCTGATTCAGTCCATGACATAGCTGCTGCAGTGTTTGCTGGCCTGCCTGGGTGACATGAGCTGTTACTTACGGCTATAACAGGTGCAAAGCTTTCTGACAGTAGTGTTGCTTTTAAATACCCGAGTCCCTCTAATAACCCAGAGAGGCAGCAGGCTGAACTCTCCAAAGCCATAGGACCAACTTTGTACATGCAGCCTGGGCAATTATGGATGCAAAACAAATCATGCCAGTGAAGTCACGATGTTCCTCACTTCTCAGAATTACTGGGGGTACTGTACAGAAAGCAGGATCATACACAATAGGAGGATGACATTGTTAAACTTTGCAAACACACACGCTTTTCCTCTAAAACCTCTCTGCTGCTAATAAGGCTGGTGCAGTTTTGCTGAAAATCCTGATGCAGAAATCATAGAATCAGAGAATGGTTGGTTTGGAAGGGACCTTAAAGATCATCTAGTTCCAACCCTGCTGCCGTGGACAGGGATGTGTTTCACTAGATCAGATTGCTCAAAGCCCCATCCAACCTGGCCTTGAACACTTCCAGGGTTGGGGCATTCATGACTTCTCTGGGCAACCTGCTCCAGTGTCTCACCACCCTCACAGTTATGAATTTCCTCCTAACACCTAATCTAAATTTCTCCTCATTTAGTTTAAAATTGTTCTGCCTTGTCCTGCCACTATCTGCCCATGTAAAAAGTCACTCTGCCTCTTTTTAATAAGCCCCCTTTAAGTACTAGAAGATCTTCCTTCTTTTTTAGGCACCTTGAGAAAGAAGGTCAAAGAGAAGGGACTTTGGTGGGTGCAGAGCACAAAGATGAGTATTTAAATTACTTACTTTAAACAAAGTCTCCCTATATATGATTGAAAACAGGTGGTGCCTGGAATGACAGATCATAGCTACTTTCTGATTATTAATATACCATCATTATGTGGTGTAAGGAAAAAAGCTGCAGCAGATGGAGCTCTTGCAACCAGACAGCAACAGACCATACAGGAAAATGCATGACTCTGCTTTAGCTTACAAGCTGTAAATACAAATGGTAATATGATTTTTACCCAGAGGGAGAACTATGTGCAATAAAACTTGAGGGTCTTCAAACACTGCAACCACTCAAAGTAGACAGACTCTTCGGTTAGTCACTCTCCTCCTGTCTATCATGTATTTCTTTATTTTCTTTGTGCTAGTATAGCAGCACATCTAATGCAAAATAAGCCAACAGCGTAAGCTAGAAACAATCAGCTTGATGATCTTGGTTCACACTTCAGCTCATGCATAAAGTCTACCTTAACAAGCTGCCACTCATAAGGAAGCCAGCGCAATCATGAATTAACAACCTCTACTTGGTTTTGATTCCAGAGTTATTGTGCCTTGAGAAATATTACATCTAAAAATACTTTGCATTAAGATCCCCTATATGCTTCAAGCAAGGTGTTCTAGAAATGATCTATAGCATTTTGCACGTTAAAGAACAGCAGTGGCCTTAGTGAAGAACACTTTGCTCATTTGTATTTATTCACGTTCCCGGACCAACAAAGTGGCCAAGGTGACTTTGAGGGGGAAATGCTGCTTGAGTATGGATAGTGCAATCTGGGCCTACAACTTTCTGTGCATGTCAAAAGTCATTTGCATATTCATTATCTTTTGATGAGTGCTGTGTGGTCAAGGGAAATGTACTTTCCCCTTTGGTGTATATCTGAAGCCTTCTGTAAATCTCCTGTGCTCTGTATCAGTGTGGGCATAATTTAGCTCTGTATGCACTAGATCCTGCCCCCATGTTACTGTGGTTTTAAATGTAAACAGAATATTTGGGAAGGCAGAGAGCCTGGTGGGGAGTTTTCTGGGGGCAAATATATAATTGCTAACTGCTTAATTAGGAACAGTCTGACTTTTCTAGGAGATAAAAGAAGTTGCTTGTTTACTGGGATTGAGTAGCAGATGTGCCAGCCAGGGTTAGTAATAAATCCAAGAAATTCTGGTGTCAGGATCCATCCTCAGCTGGGGTTAAAAAGACACAGCTCTTCTGTCCTCACAAGGTGAGAGTTAAAGCAATTCACGATCCACTCCTAAAAATGAGGTAGAAGCTTCAGAAGAAAGAGATGGGACTCAACAGATGAGTAAACCATTACAAGTGAATTTGGCATGGGAGAGGTCATGTTACTGAAAGCTGGATGTGCTTGGTCAGGCTGCTTTCCTCTAGTAACTCAAGGAGCAACATGGTTTGTAGCTCTGTAGTAATCATTCTGTGTCTCTCTCAGATCTACTGTTACAGGCCAGCAATGCCACTTAGTGGCTTCATGAAAACTGTTTTCTCACAGAAAAAATTTCCTTTATTAGAGAGCAAGGCATTCAATTGAACAGCAGCTCATTGCTAAATCCTGAGCATAGCATGCTGCAGAGTAAGAAGAATGAGACGCCGCTCAAAATTTCCATCTTCATCTTTTCTAGATCTTACATAAGGCATAACCTCCAGTGGGATGTGCTCCATCCCTGCATGGGTGCCCACAGCTGACAAAGCCCAGGTGCCCTGGGAGGCTGATGGGGAAGGCAAGACTTGAGCACAAAAGCCTACCTTGCTTTAAGAAAGAGTTCCATTCTAACAGTGGAATTAGAACAATTAACCACAATTGAGCAGGAAACGCCATTCTCAGGGGACAAGTGGAGGCTGTGCGGCTCCTGCTGTCTGCCAAGCACGTTCGTTCCCAGATTTATCAAGGTACTGTGCCATCTAGAGGAATCTGAGAGGCATTTTCCCTTGTCTCTCCAAATAGCTCCTGGCTCAGGGTCACTGCTGGTGAAGCCAAGCAGCGAACCCGCTCCTGGGCCAAAAACACTTCTGGCAGTCCCTGTGTCTGGTGTTCCTGTTCCAACACAGCACATTTGCTGGAGTTATACTAAATGTCTTTAAAATGTGCTGCCTTAACTGTTTTAGTGTGATGACCATGGTTTTCTTTACTGCTTCAGTTTACATCCAAGTGTGATTCACAGTAACAAGGGCACACCTCTACCAAAATACCAGGCTGCTGCTGACATGTTACTACATGAAACAAGGGCTTAACCTTTTTTTTTTTTTTTGCTTTGTCATATACAGCATCACAAAGAGCATCGCTGTAATATTCAGCTACCAGTGACTTACAGGCAGAGATGGACTTCATGGCTTTTGCTGTGAGGTAATTACAGAGCAGACTAATTCTAATTACCATGAAATGGAAGCGGTGGCCTACAAACAGAGGCACAGAGTATCTGGTGGGTGAATGTTGCTATTGACTAAAAATGGTTATTTAATCTTTAAAAATGTTGACGCAAAATATTGCATTCATTCCTTTCCTGCTCAACAACACCTCAGACTTCAATTACCCCATGAACTAGCCAGCTCAGCCTGACATCCTCAGCTCTATCCTGCCCAATATGCCTGTCCTGGTACACATCTGTCTCCTCGGACTGACAACCATCCAGAGCTGATTGGGTTGCTTATGGCTTTCCTTTGCATTACCTGAGCTCTCAGCCCTCCAAAATTCCTTTATGCATCCTAATCCCTATGTGATTCTGACCATCAGAGAGGTGAGCCATAAATTAATAGAAAAAACTAAGTCTGTCCTTTTTCCTTTGGGAAAAAATAAAGGAATTTCCCAGGTTCTCACCAGTTTTAAATGATCATATGTTGCTTCTACAGCCTACTTTCTTTTTGACTTTTCTCCACTTTTGATGTCTGCTGCTCGGTCTCTTCTGGCAGGAGGTGACTGCTATTAAGTGACTGTCAGAGTTTGATGTCTGTTGTCAGCCATCATGTCGCACTGTTTGGAAACAAAAACAAAGAAACCCACAAACAAACAAACAAACAAAAAGAGTGAAAAGTGTTATTGCTACAGGAAGTAATCCATTAACATCATTATGTGCTTTTAAATTAGCATGTGTTCCGGGGACCCCTTGGAAAGCTTTACTCTGCTTTCTGAGAAGTTTTCAAAGGATACCAGCTGCAAGCTTTAGCAAGCTCTAGCTGGTGGTGAGCTAGGGACAGTTGGCGTAAATAAAATAAGAAAGAATTTAAAACATCATCTCTCACTTGAAATGGTATTTACTGGAAGTTTAAGTGGGCTTTACTCAAAGTTTTAAACCTTCTTGACTCCTGGTATTGAAAATATTTGCTTTGTTGTTAGAAGCTGAAATGCTGAAAATGGAAGTCCCAAGGTAACAAAGAAAAATTGTCCTCACACTTGGCTCTTTAGCTGGTGACCTTAGACATGGTGTCTCCAGAAGTTAAATATCAAGGGGAATATTATTAAGCAGGTTTAGATTTCACAAGAAAAACTAACAGTAGCAGCTTGAAGAAGTTATCTGGTGTCCTGTGGTGCAACAATTTAGAAATCTCAGCTCTGTTGTAGCTATGGGACAAGCCCAAATAAGCAGCGCCCTTTCTTTCCTGATGTGAACTCCCAAAACTTCAGTGGAGTTGTACTGATCTGCACCAACTGAAGATCACTGATGGCATCTTTATTTGATAAATTGTAAGCATTCCTGTTATAGAAACAAATATATGGCTGAACCTGAATTGTCCATGTTTTGGAAAAAAAGTAATTCTGAAATGAAAGATTATGGAATCATAGAACCAGCAACTAAGGTCAGGGTCTCACAAGCTTGCTCTTGAGGTGCAGACAGTCCCACTGTACCTGTGTTTCCTGGGCACTGGCCCAAGGTCTGTTTCTGACTGTCATTAGACTGCTGAGTAACTCTTAGAAGTCAGTCACTTCTCATCTGTCTTTTTATCCATGTCTCGACCATGTAGGAACATACAGCATGCAGGGGGGAAATGAGCTTTCACTGCATTTTCTTTCCTTCTTGGACTTCTGCAATGTACTCAGAATGAATTATTTGTTTTGTCCCTTGTCCTCTCAAACTGCCTGGTTACACACCTCAGCCTCCACAGAAATAATTGTTTCAGGGAATAAGTTACACACTGCTTAAGCACTTGCAAAGGTTTTACATTTTATTCTAATCCTGTGGTATCTGAGATATACAGAATAAAACAGAGCATGCTTTAAATTATAAAGGATTAGATTAGGCAAGTAGTCCAACCACTATCATTTCAGAACGAAAGGTTTGGTGGTTTATACACATTGAGCTGAATTCAGATCTGAAAAAGGTGATACAGATCCTCCGACTGTAGCTATTCCTGCCTTCCCCAAGCCAAAGACAGTTGTGCTTATTTACTAGAGTAGACTAGAAAAGCAGTCAGTGCCTGGTAAGAAATGGCACCACTGACTTGAAAGTCAAATTAGTAGATAAGGATAATAAATATATATACATTTTGATATATGATATATTTATCAAAATTACATTATGTTCTGTGAAAGAACAATATGTGGAATGGAGGGACTGTATATAACAGAACAAGAATTTAAAATGTGTAAAAGTATCTGGGTAAATGTGGAATATCATAAAGAGAGTATTAATGATGATGCTGATAATAATAATGCAAAATAGAATTGTCAAAGACAACACATGTCAATGGTCATGTAGGGTATAACCTATGGAAGTTATGGCAGTGGAGACACAAGATGGGAAGGATTTCTGGGCTGATTGGTCAATGTAAAAAGGTTAAGGAATTCATTCTTTGAGTCACACAGAAAATGCACGGTCTGAATCATCAGACAGACCTAATTGCAGGACACGTGGATGCTGCCCTACTTAGAGTACAGTTTTGAATACTGATCGAAGTTTAAACAAGAACTGCTATATTTTTACTGTAGGAAACCCAGGAAAATTCTTACAAAGTGCTATTAAACCAGGCCCTTTAACACCTTTTAGAAGTAGACATTTGTCCAAACTGCTCTCAGAAAGTTCTTACAGGCAAGCAATGAACACTACGGTCAGTAGAGAACTGCACTACATGGAGATAAGGGCTGCAGCATGCTGAGGGTTGTACAAACATGCAAGACATCATTTAATTCCAGGGCTTTCAGGCTGAACAGGCAATGGAGATAAAAGGAGGGGCAAGCAGCAGTGAAAAAGGCATTATCCAATGCAATGAAAAGTTTGCCAGTAAAGTCAGGAATCATGGCCAAGCTTCCCAAATCCCCATCTATGACCTATCCCCCCAGTCAAACCTCCATTGGATTATATGAAAGAGTCTCTACTGCTTTGTGACTTGTCTTGTAGAAGAAAATCATAGGAAGGAATAGTTACAGCAACAACATGAAGATTAAAGAACAAGACTGTCCCTTGAGAGAAATTTGGGCAGCTGCACAATGTAAATTGCATGTTGTGGCCTGAAACATCTGTTTTAATGTACTGATCTCTCCAGAGGATTTTAGGATTGTTATCTCTCTATTTCAGTTGTCATCACGTACTGGATTGTGGCCCTCTAGTAGAGGCATACCCATGTTTCCCCTTAACACAGGTCTGGTACTTGAATCAAGTAACATGGCTGGAATATAATTGTACAGACATACTCTCAAGTATCTCTTAGTCATGGCTCCAAACCCACTTCCCCCTATAGACTGAGGCTGAATACAAACAACATGTAGGGGAATAACAAAAGAGAAATGGGCCAGAACTTAGTCCCACTAATAAGAGCAGGCTTAGCTTCTCAGCTGGAACAATCCAGCTTTCCCCAGAAAGAGTACATCTTTTAACAGGATTACCTTGTAGCTGTTCTCTTACCATATGCTCTCTTTGTATTCATGTAAATCAGTCTGTTTGGCAGATGAAAAACTATCATGAAACGTGGATCCTTTGCAGACAGCTGGGAACAGTGAGGTTCCTCTGTCATGAGCGTCTCTGCATACAGGGCACTGGATCACTACAGCAAACAGGACGTTCCAGAGACGGATTAAGACCTTAAAGGTGCAGCACAGGCAGTGTAAAAGGAAAACATCCCTTAGTTAGAGGTGAGCAGAGGAAAAAAGAAAGTGTCTATGCCCACACATAGATCTACAATTTTCCCAAGGCATCGGTGCAGTTGCACAGATGAGGGTGAAACTTTTGTTTTCCATAAATTGTAGCATGCTTCACCTGAGACACATCCATGTGCCTTGGTTTGCCCTCCCATCAGAAACAGGAACATGGAAGTAGTGAAGGCAAATTTCTGCAAATATGTGTTTATTTCTTTAGTGTTTTGTAGCTACATAAGGTTCTCTTAGGTTTCCTCACTTCCAGTCTTTATCTTTCAAGTCTTGTCTCATTCTTCCACTTCCAAGAGGGATATCAAAACCAGAGGTAAAAAAAAAATTCCTCTTTCCTAGTCCAATATATACGTCCATATATTTCTACCTCTCTGCACAGAAAGCTCATTAAGATATATATGTAAGCAAAAGTCTTTAGGAATGCATTTTAACAAGCATGAAATGTGGTGGTCAGTTCCTTCTGGGAAGCCCCACCCCTTTTAGAACATGCAAGAAATTTTGTTTACTTATCTTCTTCCAAGAAACATTCCCTTATCTTGGAGGAACTGGTCATTACTAGTAGCAGTCTGTACCTTTAAATATCTGTGAGTTACTGAAGACTGGCTACTGTTGCATACACCTGAATCTTTTTAAGAGTTGTTTATCTGTTAATGGTCACATTGATGGTTAAAGATCAGAAAATAGAACCAAATATAGTATTAATGAGAATACAGCATGAACCATTTATTTTAGCAGCAGTTGCATTTATCTTACGAGATTACCCACAGCAGCTCAGTAGTTTCAATATGAATGGCACAGTTACAACTGGGGGAAAATATACAAACATATTTTGAATCATACCTGTCTGTGGAGAGGGACAGTTTGCCACAGACTTGGCAATAAACCTCAGAAACAAACTCAGTCCTGGTTTTGCTTTATAACAAGAGCTGCCAATCCCTGCACATCAGAAGTCAGGGCTGAATTTGGTTAGGCTGTGCTCTAGAGGACACCGCTTGAGCAGAGAGGTTGGACTAAATGGTCTCTTCCAACCTTACCCATTATGTGATTCTGTGACTCTAAATAAGTATCTGAAGGCTGAAATCCAATTAAGGCTTAGAAGCTACCACTGCTTCAAAAGGAGATGTGATTTCCCCCTGCCACGGTGAGTGGGGAGTAAAAATCCTGGCTTCCTTAGTAACACCAACTAATCAACCCTTTCTCTTAAGCCTATAGATGAGCTTGTGGTGGACCTGCACTCTTAGCAAAATGTCTTCCAAGCCTGACATCGTGTTGTGCTCCTTCACAGGCTGCCCTCAAAGCTAATCAGCACGTGTCTTAACACAAAACAACTGAACAGCACTGCTCCTGCTAGTGGCACTTTCCTCCCAACACTGCAGGTGTCACTGTAAAATAGAAAATCTGCTTGTAACAGATTCTGTTCTGATGACTTTGCAGGGGATTGTACACAACTAGAGTTTACATGAAAATATTTGTCCTCTGATAATAGAATAGATGCTAGCTCTGTTCTAACACTGTTGATTGAACTGTATTTGGTGGTCACAGTTCTCATAGGACCAACAAAAGGTTGATGTTATAAAGGTAGATTTTCCCCTTTCCTATGATGTTACCATTAGCAAGAAAAGGGCATGGTATTTTTGGTCTGCAAAGCCAAAATGTTGCTTTTTACAGGCATAGCAGAGCAATGAGAGTTCAATGATGTAAAAAAGCAGTTTGTTTCTTAGTCATATGATTGTCCATGCAATTCTGTCTTTCAGTGATGCCTGAGTAATTCTTTGCAGAAGGAATGCTTTAATTAGGGTGGGTATACGCAGTCTATCAAGTTATTAGGACGATATAATGAGTAAATCCAGAGCACACTCCTGTCTAGTAAATGTGAGAGGTATCTTAACTATGCTGTAGCACATTTCCATAAGACAGAGAGATTGTCTTTAATCTTAAAGGTTCATTATGAGGATAAATGTATTAAAGAATGTGAATCACTTAGATATATTGTTGTGAGGATCAGATAAAATGCCAAGTGAGATTCACCTCTCACTCAGCAATACCAGTTTTTGCTTGTTTTTTCACAGTTTTTTCACTCAGTGTCTGATGAGAAATCATTTTGTGAAGGCTAAAAAAAATCAGCCTGATGCATTCCCTCATTGCAGACAAAATTATCCAATTTATCCACAATTAAAAAGGTCTTTATAAAGGAAAAAACATCAAACCCAAAACACAAACCCCTGATTTGTTTTTTTTCTCTTGCATTAATTGCAAGTGTTTATGCCTTTGAAACATCTCTAAGGATATATTTTAATAATATGAATTTTGGCACATAAATGATTTAAATTACTCATATAACTTTAAATTCTAGCTCTGGCTCCTACAACTGCTGCTGGCAGCAGGTGCTACAGAGAGATAGGATTAGGAGCACTTATGTTTTAGCCATTGAATTACCTTTATTCCATTTGTTCTTTCTTCTTCTAACATGAACATGTTCTTTGCAATTTTATGGGTAACAAAAACTAGAGGAAGTACTAAAGCAGCAGGTCTATCTTTTGCCCTTGAGTATGCTAATGCTGCTCTCACTAATGTCTGTGTGGATACTGTGCCTGTATCCTGGTCAGAAATTTAGTCTTCAGGAGAGCTAATAAGCTGGAATTCAGCCCAGAGCTAAAGTCACGTGTCTGTGTCAGCTTATAGGCCCATTTAGCCACCTTGGGGAAAAATGCAAACAGGCTTCTCCTAGCTATATGTTACACTTTCTCTTGTTGCTAAGAGTTGACATTGGAAGTGTTGCCTAAAATCAGGAGAAAAAACTCACCGGGTAAATTTAGTACAGATAAAATAGAGAGCAGCTCTTTTAATTAAGGCCTTCTGGCTCATGGAGTACAAAGGCATGTGCTCGTGTCCAGGGGTTCCACAATTTGTGGTCTGATCCGAGAACTATCCGCCCCCAGATCCTCCCCAAATCTGCCCCCTGGCATGCCTCCCCGGAAATTGAGTCAAGGGTCCCAAGACCCCTCATCTTCCTCATCTTCCTCTTTTTCACAGCACATCCTGTCTCTGGAGCCTCTCCAGGGTTCCGGGCTTGAAGGTTGCTTTGACTATGATGGTATCTTGTTGTCCTGGCCTGGGGTGCACACGTTCTTAAACAATGTATTTACCATAGTCCTGCCTTGAAAGGAGCCTAAACAAGCCTAAAGAATTTAGAAAACTCGATATGAAGTGGGGAATAAAGTTTGGTAAGTGTTAACTACTATTCTAAAATGTGAGAGACTATACAACTATACTAAAAATCTATAGTTACTACATGGCTACCTAAAAATCTACAAAAAGCTAAAAATCCTAAAAATCCTAGGGCATCAGAAGCAAACGAAATCTGGTCTGAAAGAGCTGACCCACCTCCAGCCTCAGGTCAGGAACAGCTGTACCAGTTTCACTGTATCTTGCATTTGTCTTGCAATGTAAAACTGGCCCCATGCTCCAGTTATACCCAGTGCTATCCTTCTATATGCTAGTGGTAACTTCTGCCTAGATGGGAATAATCACATCTTTTTGTTGAATAGCATCATGTCTTTTCAGGCTGCTACTCCAAGTTGCAGCATAATTTTGACCTGCTAATGAGATCCTCTAAACACCATTTGTAAATCTTTCCAGACTGGTTTTGTTTGAAAGTGTGTTATATATTATTTCTGTTACAGAAAATACAGACAAGAACAAGACCTAAGACAGAGCCCAGGCTCTCACAATCCCAACAGCACAGGATAGAGGCCAGCAAAAAGACTAGACTACCAACAAAAAGACCAGCACTGTGCACCTGGAAACCCTACCCACTTGACAGCACCACCAGTCACTGCACCCTACACTGAAACCCAGCTGATGATTTTGGGTTTTCATCAGTTGCTGCTGTAGTTTACCAAACTGTGGAGTAAAGGTAAAAATGCTCACACACTTTTCAGGTGTAACATTAAGGCCTCCCGAGAATAGTGTTCCTTTCCTCTCCCACTCAGCAATGGAGAAGCTGGTCAGCCTTCCCAGTGGGGAACACAGCCACTGGTCTGCAGCACCAACCCACCAGGATTAGATGCTGGTTTTGCCATTTCTGTTGACACAATAAGCATAGTGAGAATGGAAGGTTTCAGGATGTTTGCCCAAAAAAGTTTTAGGTAAGTTGCAGCTTGTCTGGTGTTTCCAAAATATTTTCACTGCAGTGCTTGAGGCTCTACCAGCTCTGTGGCCAAGCCATCTTTTCACAGCTCCAATGCGTCTCTTCCCACCAAGGGGTAGTTGAAACTGAGTGGAACAGCAGCTCTGTTCTGTCCCTCAGAGAGGGCTTTATTAATACATCTGGCCACTAGGAATGAGTTTACTAATTATGTGGTTGGCCTTCAAGAAAAAATGGTCTACCAGACCTAAGTGAAATGAAGAAGTCAAATGAACTCCATTTAACACTTCCAAAATACTGATCTAGAGTGTTAAGTCTTTTGATATGGGAATGCATGAGCTATAGTGGATATAAAATAGGACAGGGGCATCTTCCTAATGCATTTCATTTCCTTTCAAACAACAGAGCTTCTACATATCTGTGGTAATTTCACACCACAGACCAGGAACAGTGCAGTCAGAACAACAGTGTTCAAACATTTAAGTCAAGATTTTAAAAAATTGGGTGAGCTTATTTTTACCTATTTAAAGAATTGCATGAGCAGTTGAAAATCAAGAAAAGGAATTTTAAATACAATTTCATAACAATTTTTTTTTTCACTCTCGGTCAGCTTGAGGTCCAAATCATCACAAGCTGGTTGATCAATGCAGGAAGCAAGGATAAATCTGTAC